AAGTAATTCGTAAGTTTGTTTGTCGTTAACAAGTGCGTCCATTTTGTCATAGTAGTCAGTCTTGTCCATAACAACAGTAACACGTCCTTTGTCGGCTGGTAGTATAACAATGTTCTTGTCGTTTTTCAGTCGTTTCAGTGCTTGTTGTTCGTCTTTGGTTAAGTTGCTGTCAGTTATAGAGGCTGATTGTATCGTGGAAGCAATTCTACTTCTGATGTTGTCCTTGGCAGGTTCTGATAAGTCTCGTTGACGAGAAAGAGCCGCCTCAACACTAGATACAATAGACTCGGTCGGTATACGTTTAGGCGTATCCCGGACGATCACACTACACGAACTACTGATACTCCTGGGTTCAAACCATTTACTTTCCAACTCTCATCTCAGTTGCACAAAGTTAAAGAATGTCTCAGCCTAAATATCTGTGAAACTGTTGACAGAAAAGTCAAAGTGATGGAGGAACCTGAAAACAAGACCTCTGTTGTGCATGACCAAAAAAACAATCTGTAAATCTACTACTGTTACCTTCTTCAGCAAAGATAAAAATGCAAATGTCTAACGGCGTCCTGCTTTGTATATGTCCAAGATGTGTGATAAAACTAAATCTCGATTCTTACAATTCTCAATGTTATTGTATATTTTTTGGTAGCGTTGTGTTCGTTTGAGACATTTCTATCTCGCACGGAATGTCAAGCTTCAAGAATTAGTCTCTGTCGCCACGCCGATGACCTGTCAACAAGTCTATTTGGTGACTGTGAAGCAAATGATGTTTGGCCAACAAAGAGTTTTCATCCAATGTTGCTATGGCCTTTGTGTGTTCTTTCACGCGCGTTTTTAGTACGCGCGATGTCTCTAAACACAATCACAGCCTTTACATTTTATCTTGTACACTCTTCCTCCGGAAGCCTCTTTCTCGTTCTTGTCATTAAGGATTTTTTTTAGAGCCATTAGAAATACTCTAGAGACTATTGTTACACTTAAGAAATTTCTTCGAGATTTAGTTTTATCACACATCGTGGACATATACAAAGCAGGACGCCGTTATACATTTGCATTGTTATCTTTGCTGAAGAAGGTAACAGTAGCAGCCGAAACGTCTAGAACAATATATTTTTCAGCCAGTATCGACTTTTTTTTTTCTTTTTACAAAATATTTTATATATGCCTGGCTACACACCGAATATTTTTACGTCGCTTTTATATAACGCGTAGAAGAATATCTTTTTACATTCCCTGACCATGACGTAAATCGGCGAGAGCTTGGGGAAAAAAAAGAAAGACATCAGCTCAAGGCCTTGACTGAATCATCCATTTAAGCAACATGCTACTGAAGGGCAACTTCAAACGTTTAAAGGCACAATTGTTTATTTTATTCTTTTGTTTTTCTTTGTTAACAGGATTTCTGTACATGCCAAACAAAGACAGATCCATAAAAACTTTGCGGCTCTAAGGGACAAAGGACTTAGTGTTATTCAGTTTGCAGACACTCCGCATGTCACAAGAAAGTTAATTTTAGAAGTACTTGCACACAGCTGGTGGCTCTTTGTCCACAGTTTCATTCCCTGGGCTGTTTTGCTTAGTGGGATGGCAACTACTTTTTTTTTTCGGAGATGCGGTATGTTGTGTTCATTTGTGGTCGAAATCCTCCAGTCCAAAAATAAGTAGGGCGTTATTCTTCCTGTTTTCGTGCAGCTTCATCAACAAAGGACTGCAAGCAATTATCAGTTTAGTTTTTTTTTTCGGAGAAACGGTATGTTGCGTTCATTTGTTTTCACGAAAGGTCATTAACCAAGTGGAATAATGCAAAAATACCGAAAATTTCAACACGTATATTTTCTATGCCTCGCCCAGCAAACAGAGAGCGATTATGAGACATGAAAGAAGAGTTTTATGTTCAATTGTAAAGTTACTAAAGTGAAAAGATGCTACATGATTTTACTTTTGAAATAATCATTTGTTTCCAGTCTTAACAACGCATTAATTTTATTCGTTGCGATCGAGAAGGTAATATGAAATTAGTTTGAGTCAATGAAATTCTCTTAGCATGAACAAATCTACAAGAACGCAAGACTTGTCCGATATCGTAAGGCTTGGTAATAAGTCATTAAGACTGTCAGATTTTTTGCGAGTTTGGCCAAAGAGCTTATTAACTTTTGTGGGTTTGTGTGTATCGAAAAAATGCGAGCATCGTTAGAGTAGAAAAATAAGGGAAAAACATAGGAAACACGATACACTGCTTTCACTTGCGGTCATTTCTGGTCTTTAATGCGTCAGTATCCCTCTGAAAACAAGCTGTTTTGATCATAACTTCTTGTACTTTTTATTTCTCTGATCTTGCCCTGAAGAACGAAAGAGTACACCCAGGACCACTTCTGAGTTCATAGCATTCTGTCAAAGAATGAAACAACCCGATTACATTTATGATACTAGATCAATAGCCTGGAGGAACGTCTTGATATTGAATGAGACAAGTTTGAATGTTTTCTTAGGCAGTCAAATTACTTTCTCGGAAAACGTCAACATACTAATACAAGTTATGAGGAACTTTGCGCTAAAGGTACACTTCCATCAGTTTAGTTAGCGTATTTTGAATTCCTTGTAATAATATTGAAAAGAACAATGATCACGATTAAATAATAACAGAATGGTTGAGCGATACACCGCGTTGATTAGGATCGTTATCAACTTCAGTTTAACTTAAAACAGCCACGATTGCCTCCTACCGTCATTTCCTTAGTAACATTGTCTCGCATGAACTTATTCATAGTACTGAAATTAGAAGTGTCTTAATTTTTTCATTTTGAGAGGGAAGACCATCGTTATTTCAAAATAACTTCATAAAATAAGCTTTAGTTACTATTGGTTACAGAACGTGTTTCTCACTGAAGTCACGAAAGGAAAACTTTTAGTTATTCAGGTCTTCCGGCTGAAACGTTAAGATGAGATCCACTCCGTTAGTTTATCTTTTCATCTCGAGAAAACCATGAAACCGTAAGAGTCCTGTGTTCACAAAAACGTCCAAAATCAGTTGAGCAGCGACACCATTTATACAGAGAGGCTCTTCTTTAGTCCCTGCTTATATAAAGTTACAGTTTAAAATAACGAAAAGGACACCACTAGTTACAATAGCTGCAAATTTAGTTGGGGTACAAGATTTTGACACTTTCACCCTAAGATCTCGTTAGTAGTTCTCCTTACTGTCTGTCATGAAACTTTTATAATGTTGGTTTGGAGAATTTGGTATTGAATCAACTAATAATCACCTGATTTATATTTTTCTTTATATTCATAGCTTTTCTGTTCGATATTGTATTGATATTGTAAGAAGAAATTCTGTCTCAGTTCAAGTAAGGATCGACTATAAATACTGTATATTTTGGTTTTAAACATAGGTTAAAAGAGATAAAAATGTCAGTTGCTGGAAGTGGCAGCAGACCTTAAGATAAGAAGTTTTAGCCTTTAAAACTCCCCAGATGACTGTTGTAAGGGCCTGTCGACATAAAGATAACATCAGCAATAAAGAATATACAATGCTGTAATGGAAATAATTGCATGTTCAGATGAAAACAATAAAATGGTAAGCGGCAAATAAAATTTTAAAACAGTAATTGAATACACCTTAGTGTTATTCAGTTCCCAAACACTCAGCATGTCACAAGAAAATTAATTTTAGAAGTACTTGCACACAGCTGTGTGGCTCTTTGTCCATAGTTTCATTGCTTGGGCTGTTTTGTTCGGTGGGATGGGAAATACAGTTTTTTTTCCGGAGATGCGGTATGTTCCGTTCATTTGTGGTCGTAATCCTCCAGTCCAAAAATAACCAGAGTTTCCTGTTTTCGTGCAGTTTCATTATCAAACATAACGATTGGAATAAACGGAAGTTTAGTTGCTTTTTTTTGGGAGTTACGAAATGTTGCGTCCATTTGTGCTTATGGAAGGTCAATAACCAGGTGGAATAATGAAAAAATACCGAAAATTTCAACACATATATATTCTATGCCTCGCTAAGTCAACAGAGAGCGATTAAGAGGAATGAAAGAAGAGTTTTATGTTCAAGTGTAAAGTTACTAAAATGAAAATATGCTACATGGTTTTTCTGTCTTTTGAAATAATCTTTTGTTTCCAACCTTTAACAACGCATTTATTCGTTGCGCTCGAGAAGTTAATATGAAAATAGTTTGAGTCAATAAAATTCTCTTAGCATGACTAAATTTACAAGAACGCAAGGCTTGTCCGAGATTCTAAGCCATGTTAATAAGTCATAAAGATTGTCAGATTTTTTGCGAGTTTGTCAAAGAGCTTATTAACTTTAGTGGGTTTGTGTGCAACGAAAAAATGACGAACATCGTTAGAGTAGAAAAATAAGGGAAAAACATAGGAAACACGATATACTGCTTTCACTTGCGGTCATTTCTGGTCTTTAAAGTGAAAAACTAAAATGAAAATATGTTACATGGTTGCTTTACTTTCGAACAAATTATTTGTTTCCAGTCTTAACAACGCATTAATTTTATTCGACCATGACCAAATCTACAAGAACGCAAGAGTTGTCCGACATCCTAAGGCATGGTTAGATATTTTGCGAGTTTGGCCAGAGAGCTCATTAACCTTTGTGGGTTTGTGTGCATCGTGAAAATGACGAGCATCCCCAGAATAGAAAAATGAGGGAAAAACATAGGGAACACGATATGCTGCTTTCACTTGCGGTCATTTAAATGACCGTGGGACGACCAGAAATTTCTGGTCATTAATGCGTTAGTATCCCGCTGAAAACAAGCTGTTTTGATCATAAATTCTTGTAATTTTTGTTTCTCTGACCTTGCCCTGAAAAACGAAAGAGTACACGTGGGACCACTTCTGAGCACATAACATTCTGTCAAAGAATGAAACTAGCCAATCACAATGCTAGATCAATAGAAGAACGTCAACGATATTGAACGCCCTTTTTTCCTTCTATCAACTATTTATTTTACAGCCAGCCTTGGCGACGAGTCATTGTTAGTCACAGGGATCCTGCAGATAACATCTCTTGAGCATTTTAAGTGATCATCGTCCTTCAACTTCAGCAACTTCTGAGAAAAGTCAAAGAGCTTTGGTAAGTTAATTTCTCATTTCACTTCACTTGTTATTGATTGATCAACCAGCGAATGCATCTGCACAAATTTGTTCTTTGTGCGTAGAAGGCGACTTCAAGCGAGGCACTAGCTGCATGCCATTAGAGTCTATGGGACAGAGGCCGTAGACTGAACTCTAAAAATCGAAACTTGACGACATTCTTCTCAAAAACATTTTAGATGAGCGAAATCGATGGCGTCGTTATTCTAAAGAGATGCTCTCAAAATACATAACGAAGAAGAATGTTTACTTTCGGTTCGAGACGCGTTTGAATGTTTCCTTAAGCAGTCAAATTACTTTCTCGGAAAACGTTAACATACCAACATAATTTATGAGGAGCTTTGCGCTAAGGTTACGCTTCCATTTGTTTAGCTGACGTATTTTGAGTTCCTTGAAATAATGTTAGAAAGTACAATGATCACGATTAAATAACGTGGCGTCGGTTCTTTACAATTCGTGTTCGTAATCAAACATTTACCTCGGCACAGGTATTACTTAAAAAAACTAAACTCGGTAGAATGGTTGAGCGATACACTGCGTTGGTTAGGATCGTTATCAACTTCAGTTTAACTTAAAGCAGCCAAGATTGCCTCCTACAGTCATTCTCTCGATAACATATATTGTTTAGCATAAATTTTCTTTATAGAAATTAAACTAGAAGTGTCTTAATCTTTTCATTGTGGAGCAAGACCATCGAAATTTGCCTTGTAAAGCAATGCACATCGTTATCGACTTCATAGCATTGAAAAACGTTGTTCGTTTTCAAAAGAAAGTCACAAATTTGCCACCGAAAAGTTTCGATCGACGTGCTGTTGTCGGTATGGCGGTGATTATCTCTATGGGAGAGTCAAAACGGCTTTACCAATGGCGACTATCCTCAAACAAAGTAGACGCTCTCTATGATTTTAAAAGATGATTATATGAAATGAATTTCGGCATGCGAAAATGTTTTTTTTGTCCAATTTAGTCAATTTTAATCAGGAAACATCAAAATATCTTTCGATTCGCCTTGTGAGAAGGGTTTTTACCTCAGTCATTTCAAAACAACTTCGTAAAATAAGCTTTAGTTACTAGTGGTTAAAGAAAATGTTTCTCACTGCAGTCACTGAAGGGAACCTTTACTGTGATTCAGGTCTTCTGGCTGAAAAGATAACGTGAGATCCGCTCCGTTAGTTTATCTTTTCCTCTTGAGAAAACTTGTCTCTGCACTTGACGCAAATAAAACAACCGAACTAATGCTATGAACTTTGCTCAATAACTAATCAGGAAAACCACAAGAGCATTTATAATCAAAGTTCAAACAACAGAGCACAAACTCTAACGAGGATAGGCTCACAGTAAGAATAAAACACGGCAAACAGGAATATAAGTCATATAGCGCAAAAAAGGAGGTACAATTTTTTAGGAATCAGTTATACAGAGGGTACATCACATGCACTCAAACTACAAACCGAAGCAATACAAAAGTCAACAATGGCGTCTTTTTCTTTGTAGCTAAGCACTTCTAAGGAGGACTTACCAATGATAGGAGACAAGAGAATTTTCTCTGAATAGCAGCGGATTATTTCATTCCGAATTTATGGCAAATTTATTTTTAAAGGATCTCATTTGGTTTGGTGAAGCGTCTCTGATTTCGAGGCGAAAAGCCTTTCCGTTCGTTTTGAAATCGTTGTTTGCATTTTTCCAAGTGGACATTCTTTTTCGAGAAATATTTTACCCCAGTTAGCCCGCTATATCATTTTTAGACTGAATGAGGAGACCTATTGAGGAATCACTTCCGTTTTGATTTAAAACCTTCATGTCTTAATCCGAGATCCAATATCTTTGCGTGAGTGGTATTTAAGTTTATTCCTCGTCCATCACCGTATCTAGTTCGAGGAGTAGGGAATGTTGCATTTGTAAACTGCTAACGGCTCTCTATTTCATTAGCTCGGTCGCATATGGAATTTCGAGCAGCGCAAGGTAAACGGACAAAGATTTACCTTTTTGTCCACCAGAGACAGATACTTAGTGCACAAGGGCACTTTGTTTTTGTTCGAAAAATTCCTTATTATTAAAGCTTAACTCCTGAAGGTTCTCGATGAAGATAGATATGTATAATTATCCGATAAACTATAACCCGTTTTCTTTTGAGATGTTTGTTTTTTTTTTTTTCTAGAAAATCATGTGGCGATTTGAAACCAACATGACTCAAGTCTTCACGTAATTTTTGGCCTGTTTCCAATAATCATTTCGGGGTAACTGAACAAAGATAAAATGAAAAGTGTTCTGACTTGCAGAGATATGAGCATATTTAGTCTCAATAAAAGGGTGCATGTCCTCAACTACATGGTCTAAGTTTGGATAAAAGTATCGATTTTAAATGCCTATTGATGAATTGATGATCAAGCATGGAGCTGGCAATCATTGTAAACGAGTGTTCGCTATTCCGCTACCCTCAATGAAGTACTATAAGGTTAATTTTGAGATAGTGTTCTCTCTTTAGCTAATTCCAGTGTGCTCTCTTTCAGTTGTTATCGTCGTTGATGTATTCAGATTCTATGATGGGTGACGCTAAAGGTCAGTCGATTTTTTTTTTTTTTATCAAAAATGTTATTTTTCTTATTTTGCCACTGTCTTAAATGGCCCGCTCCTCTTTTTCCAGCTCTCTTGCACACATAAAAGAGCAAATTGATAGTTCAGTTAATTTTTAATTTAATACTTAAATTACAGTATCGGCAGAGAAAGCAAGATGCCGGCCTTAGTTTCTCAGGTTTTGTAAACATCGTTAAGGTGTGTTGTAGACCGGTCAGTGTTCTTTGATCTGCATCGAAGTTTTAATTGAAGTCTACATCACTAACAGTAAATGGCTAATCTGTCTTCCTCAGCCCCCCCTTTCTATTTCGATCGTGTTTTGCTGTACTTCGAGACGAGAAAGCTATCCGCTAAGAAATGAAAAGCAATCTCCTCCTCTCCTCTCCTGCTCTGACCCTGATACTCAGGTTTACAATCAATCAGACTGATTGTCGAGCGTTTTCAACATGAGCCATTAGGCTCGGGGGATTGGGTAACCACCCCCTACGTTACCGACAAAAAAATAAATTGTATTGTATTATTGTATTGTATCATTGTATTGATACTCATTTCGCTGGAAATGCGTAAGAAATCTGAATGAATTCTTATTCCTTCCAAGAAACCAGAAAAAATCTCCAGACAGCGCGGAAGGTCACATTTCATCTGAGTTCCTTTTCACCGGATGTAACACCCTCTTCACAAATACCCTCTCTCAAACAAGGATCTTTCAGCAGCGCCTTGTTCAACGATCCAAAGAGTAAGATCATCTGCAATCTGGCCAAGGAATCCGAGTATATCCAGGGCATGGTTAAAGGAACACTTGACCCCAATGTCTTTGGCGGCTACACGGTGCAGGATGCTGCCTATTGCTTCAAGGCAGTGGATTCTTACGAACGAGCTGCTGAGAAGATGCAAGAAGTTGGCAAACCTGAATTCGCTTTACTTTACAGGGCCCAATCAGAGAGTTACAAAAGCTACAACCAGTATTTTGTACAAACATGGCGGCTCCAAAATACAGACAGCGTGGTTATGGGGCCGGCAGCAGCAACGTACGTGGGATATGAGCGTGCCTTGAGCCAAAACGATCCCAAGTACCTGTGTATTGCCATGTTACCATGTACCATGCTATGGCCCTGGATTGCCGACCAACTCATCGCTTCAGTCAACAAGAACAACCCATATTACGTCTGGTTTGAAGACAACAAGCCAAGCCCGGGCCACAAAAGCCACCTGGAGAAGTTCGTAGATCACTTCTTTGTCCAAGTAGGGCCTGAGGAACGGCAGAAGTGCCTTTCCATTTTCCAAGAAGGTTTGGTTAACGAAGTGAATTTCTTCCGCAGTGCCTGCGATCAAACCCTGTTTTACTACTCGTCCTTCCAGGAGTAACTTGTAAAAAGATATTAATTTTGTTGTTTGTGTTTGGAATTAGTGTGTCTGTGCTGCTTCAGATGATACCTCTGAAATAGAACTAACAAGGAAATTTGTCTAACCACAAAAATTACTCCTTTTTTATCGTATAGGAACATGTAGGTTGAAATTAGGACGGAGACGAAAGAGGGGGTAGGTACCCATACTCTTACACTAGAACCAGCTGGCCCTTTTTCACCGGCAATAATTCCTGATTATTTAGCATCGACTTGAACATGACTTCAAGGCCTTGTAAACATACCAAACCTTTTTGTTACTTGAGTTTTAGATTTTTTTAAACTCCCCAGGTGGCTGTAGTAAGGGCCTGTCAAAATCAAGATAACATCAACAATGTAGAATATACAATACTGTAATGGAAATAATAGCATGTTCAGATGACAATTATAAAATGGTAAAAGGCAAATAAAAATTTAAAACAGCAGTTAAATATGTCCTAACATTATTTGCAGACACTCAAAATGTCACAAGAAAGTTAATTTAAGAAGTACTTTCACACAGCGGTGTGGCTCTTTGTCCGCAGTTTCATTCCCTTGAGCTGTTTTGCTCAGTGGAATTGCAACTACAGTATAACGTATATTCTTTTTTTTTTTCTGGAAACAAAAAACTTCATACTCCTCGGGGGAAAGAAGCTTTATCTTACCTATCCCCTCCCTCTCAGGGTCAACAGAAATCAAAATGTGGCCTTGAAATTATTGTTAATGTATAATGCAAACCTAGCTCACACTTCGTTAAAAATGCATGAATACAGACAAGCCTGAGTTTTTATTATCACTTACAGTTTCCTTGATGCGAGCCGACAACCACCTGTTTTGAACAGCAGTGGCTGCTGTGTAGGGAGGGGTGGCTAAGTCATAAAATGCAGCTTATAGTACAAAGTCCAGAAGTACATCATTCACCACAGAACATAATTTTCGAACTGAATCATCATAAGTTACATTATTTGTACACATTCTTGGTGCTAGATTAACGGGTAAAACAGAGCATGAACAAGAAAGCAAAAGAGCTTGTCAGACATATCATAATATTCAATACCTGACAAATTCAGATAATCAACACTGAAACTGCCATAAACCTGCAAGACTCCTGGCCTTGAATAATAACACCACACACCAAATAAAAAGAAAAAGATTTATTGGAGCCGAACGTGCTTGATACTAAGAGTGTGGGTTGAAACTAAAACGAAAAAAAAAAGCAAAAGGTTACAAGTTGCAAAACAAGTTACAAGTTACAAAAACTGCAAAACGAGGACTGCGAAATACACTTACATTGTTTTGGCCAGAGAAAACTTCTGTAAAGAGGACTGCAAATAACGCGAAGAGGCTAGAAACAAACTAAACAGAACTGCGCTAAGCGCGGACCAAACTGAACTCACAAACTGTACTGACAAACTACGATATTCAAATACGCTAGAAAATGCGGAAAATAAAACTATAGAAAGGCGCTAATGAAGATGAAACAGCACGGAAACGCTAACGAGGGCACGAAAACTAACAGAAAGAGATAAACACCTAAATTAACGCCAAAAAAGAAGACTAAACAAATGAACGAAAGGAAGTATAAACTAATTTGCGTACGCAAAGGAAAAACAAATTAGGCAAGAACGAATAATCAAAAAAAATGTTACACTTGGATCTAACAAACACCATAACAGTAACATTTTGGTAGCCAGGACAGGACCAAGTTGTGCCACATATACACTGTAAGGTCACATACAGTAGTTCATTTTCTACTATACTACTATTAGCTTACTTAACGTGTGAGAATTTTTCCAGAACTCTACACTGATGAGAGACCTCACGTAGAGTTCTGGAAAATTCTGCAGATCAAAAACCAGCATCATTTAGCTCTACCTGTGGTCCCACAGACAATAAGACCTATAAATAAGACCTATAGGAAAACCAGTTTTTGCACCTTAATGTGATTTGTTGGAAATTCTTAGTAATGTCGTCAAGCACTTTATCACCCTATCACAAGAAAAGACTGACTATAATATTTGATGTTGACTCATATATATCAACAGTATTTTGCAGCTTAAATTACAAATCACACTAATCTTGGTCTGATTTGAACTTAATTCACTTAAATTAAGTTACAACATTTACTGTATGTACACTACAAGAATTAGCCTCAATGTTCAATGTTAGTCTTACTCCTCTCTCATCTAGCTCCTTTCTGATTTGCCCCCAATTTTCCGCTGATGACGAGTGCTCCACCAACTTATCAAATGCCGCTGAAAGTCAAATGGATCCTGTACAAAGTGAGGTCAGACAAACTGAACAGGTTGCATAATTCATATTTTTACTTGTACACACATGTAATTGTGCTCTGATAGAGCACAAGATCTTTGATACCCAACCAAGAAAAATCTAGCAGGACCTTCACTGCAAACTGGTAATAAAAGTAAATTGTAAAACTGCACTTAGAAATTTCGGTCGTAATTACGTTTAGTAGCGAAGATTAGGAGATAACTGCAACAGAAAAAGTAAGTAAACATAGAAAGACGTACATAATATACAATTAAATGCCAAAGTCTGCCCTCAGTATTTTACCTTACTTGCACTGTCAATGACAGCTGACACAGCTTGTCTACCAGTGAACGTGGAGTGGAGAGCTACATGTAGTGTCTGCCATCTTTAGACCATAATAAGTTCTATCATCAGGGATGGGTGGTGAGACAGCCTAAGCTTAGAATTCAAGAAGTCTCAAAAAGCACATGTGATCAAACAAATGCTTAAAGAGAACGATTTTGAGTTAAGTTTTAAAATGCATTGAAGGGACTACAGCTGCTTGTCATCCAGATACCCTTGACCCTGAGTTGATAATTCCTTTTCAAAAGGTCATTGAAGTTGTGTGCAGATTTGTTGATAATTATATAACCCTACTGCCTAAGCGCCACTCATTTGTCAGGTAATACCAATAGTGTTCAGATAATTTGATTTTAAGGTTATGAATGCCATGGCTTGTCTTTTAATGGCATCTCTGCTTTCATCCACTTCCTGAGCTGAGCAAATTGCATCGTTCTATTACAGTATCAGCTTATATTGATCAGAAGACTCAGACTCTCTGTATCTGTAGGGTTTTTTTTCTTCCATTTTTTCTTTTTAATTTTTTAATTTCTATTTTATTTTTTCTTTCTTTTTTTTCTTTTTTTAAGATTATTTAATTGTAACAAAGGTAAACTCTTCAAGAATCTTACTTCGGTGTCTTCAAATGCAGTGTAGGTATGCAAATCATATGAATATTTATAAGAAATAGCCATATATTATATTGCAATTTTTAATTTTGAAATAAGCAAGAACTTTCTTAGGACCACTTTCCAGTAAATTATAAGTGAATTAAATTAAAATGTCTCTAAGTGAGGGTCTTTATAAGTGGATGTTATTTCCTGATGTTCAAAGATTGATGGATATTACAGTCCATTGCAGTGGTAAATTGTAAGCTACCTGTATGGTTGTATGCATGCAGTGTAACATATTTCTTGTCAGTGTAAGAATGGCTTGAGGGCAGTTTGGCTTCATAAAGTGTTTCATGTAGCTCCAAAATAATTCAAAGCTATTGAAAAATGCAATAGCACCTACATGTACATTTTTCCATTATACAAGGTAGACATGATCACAGTTAATTATTGCTTTTATTTATTAGCTTGTTAAAAAAAACAACTATAAACTATGATTATTGAGTTCCTTTTCGGTATTTGTATCAATAGCAACTGTTGTTGTTGTTGTTGATTTTTTTATTTGTCAGAGTTAGCCGTAGTGAGGTTGATGTATGTGTGCAGTGTCTGCTCCTCATTTGGACCGGGTTTAGCTCATATTGGGTATGTGTAAAAGATTTTCCTCTGTTTATGGAGAGAATCCTAGCATATAGGTCATGGCACCATGCATAGAAATACTTTACTAGTTCTTTGTAGGCCATATTTGTAAGAATCGGAGCTTCCTGAGATTATTATGCTTGTCAAAGTCACTGCAACTCCTTTATTGAGTTTTAGTCATTATTTTAACAACTCTTGGCGTGCATTCACGTCTCAGCACATGTGAATACCCATTGAACTGTTTAAGCTTATGTCTAAACTGGTTTGTATACATTACAACCAAGGTGAAGTTGTAATAAGGTAATAAATGTTCCTTGTAGTTATTTGTCTGTGAACTTCATGCACATCAGTCTCTATTGATAATCTATTGTTTATGAAGTGAATATTCAAATACAATTTTTTTTGCTGCAGGTCTCATTTCCACCAGGTTTTTATTCCTAAGTTGCCGTCTGCTGCACTCAAAGAATACACAGTTAGTGATTCCCCAGGTGGAGGGGTTGGTGATACTTTTGTCATGACCCCCACTGTAGTGCATGTCCTGACATACTTTTGTCTTCTACATTCCCAACAAGTCAAGAATAACCTGCTGGCCATGTTTCATGTAAGTGAAGCTGTTCTTGCTCTCTCTTAGTTTTAAAGCAAAGTAGAAAAACTAAATCGAGACATGTTTTACGGGAGTCAAAAAAAGCCAGCAATGGGGCAAAGCAACTCCTTCGGGAGTCAAACAAACCCAGCAATGGGACATGACAACTCCTTCGGGTGGCAAACAAACCCAGCAATGGGGAAATACAACTCCTTCGGGAGGCAAACAAACCCAGCAATGGGGAAATACAACTCCTTCTGGAGGCGAACAAACCCAGCTATGGGACAATACAACTCCTTCTAGAGGCGAACAAACCCAGCAATGGGACAATACAACTCCTTCGGGAGGCAAACAAACCCAGCAATGGGACGACATATACAACTCCTTCTGGAGGCGAACAAACCCAGCAATGGGACAATACAACTCCTTCTGGAGACGAACAAACCCAGCAATGGGGCAATACAACTCCTTCTAGAGGCGAACAAACCCAGTAATGGGGCAACACAACTCCTTCTGGAGGCGAACAAACCCAGCAATGGGGCAATACAACTCCTTCTGGAGGCGAACAAACCTAGCAATGGGACAATACAACTCCTTCGAGAGGCAAACAAACCAAGGAATGGGACAAGATAACTCCTTCGGGAGGCAAACAAACCCAGCAATGGGACGATATATACAACTCCTTCGGGAGGCAAACAAACTCAGCAGTGGGGAACAAAATTTACTTACTATGCCATAACCTTGTGAATTTTGCCAAAATTAACTCTAGAACGTCAGATTATTTGTGCAAACAATATAAACAACTGTGTATTTCAATAAATGCATTAATGAAAGTTGTACCTGGTTCTATATATAATCAAGTGTCCATTGATTGCAATGCATCTTCAGATAAAGAACTGTCAGTGTCTCAGATAAATTTACTGAAATGTGTTGGAAACCATTAACATTCCCGATTGTGTTCAAAAGTTCAAAATCGAAGAGTAAGAGATAGAGAACCATCAAGATCGAATACCATTGAAAATAATGTT